TATCTCACGACTTCGATCAATCATTCCATTCTAAATATATTGTGCGACCTCGATTACCACTGGCAATAAAATATCCACTCTTAACACTTTAATATGAACATTACCGGCGATCATAAATCTCATAGCGCAGCCCAATCGCGCCTAATGAGCGATATTCGAATAAAAGCTTCTTAATTCGATTTATCGAGAAATTTCTATCGATCTGTTAGACAATTCTTCCTTCAATTAAATTGCTGCTCTGTATAGGATAGATACTGATGACAATTATTAGAAGTAGCAAGGTAACAGTCTCATAAAAAAAAAAGAAAAGAAATTCTAATATAAGTTTGATTAGAAATATAATTTCTAATACAACGTTTCTACTTGGTTTAACAAAATAAGATATAGAAAAACAGTTAAATTCAATGTTGTGTGGTTTCTAATGTCCTACATAGTGATGAGAAAGAATTCTCGTAAAGATAGTGGTAAGGATCAATTTTGACAGAAAATCTTTTTCGAAAATTCTTTGCCACGAAAATGTAGGACATCAGAAATCACAAAACTTTGAATTTAACTTTTCCTCCGTACCTTGCACGGTTTCGTAAATATTCAGGATAATACGAGAACTCGCAATTTCTCTGAGGGGGTGTTTTCACCCTTAGGACCATTTTACTGCTGAAACAAAAAATGGTTTCATAATTACCACGAGTTATACTACATTTCTGCAAAATTTCAAATTTTTTGAATTAAAAAGAATTAAACAACGAAAATATCAATAATTCGGCCGTTTATTTTGAAAGTGTGGCCTATTTTTCATTTTGACTGTAGATCATTTACTGATAAAAAGATTATATTTGTAGTATCGGGGCCTCCGTATCCAAATAGGAAACCTCGAAGGGACAATAGAGAGGGAGCCTCGACTTGCTAAGCCGAAGGTCCCGAGTTCGATTCCCGTTGGGTCCCTCAATATTTTTCCGTCGTCGGTTCCTACATATTGGGGCCCGTCCAGGATACAGGGCATCTACACGGTACACAAAGTCAGAAGATGTGCGATGAAAACATCTCCAGGGTTGCTGCACGCCTCCCAAAAATAGCGTTGTTTCGGCTGTGTGTCACTGTGTGGGGGAGTGTGCCCGAAAGGGTTGAGTTGTGTTGCACTGAGGACATTCGAGGGCGAATGTCAGTTCAGAATGGCCGAGTGTAGTATCGGGGCCTCCATACCCAAATAGGAAACCGGCAAGGGACAATACAGAGGGAGTGGTTGGCGTAGCGCGCAAAGCCTCGGCTTGTTAAGCCGAAGGTCCCGGGTTCGATTCCCGTTGGGCCCCTCAGTATTTCTTCCGTCGGTTCCTACATATTATAATTCTAAAAATTGCTATTTCAACGTTAATCTCCACATGTCGTCGAAACAGTTGAGGATCAAATTAACAGCAAGATCTCTCCTAAAATCTGTTCCAGGCTGTGCTCCCTAACCCTGACCCGGCTTGTAATTCTACGGCCATTAGGCTCCGACCTAAGCTCGATCAGCATCGCAGTGAAGATGCAAAGCTCGAAGAGGACCCTACGTTCGAACGAAATGATCATTCCGTCTGGTGGCATACTGGACACAGAGCTCGAGCTTCAGTTTGCTCTCCAGTATCCCCATTTCCTCAAGAGGGACGGCAATAAACTACTGATACTGCTGCAGAGGAGGAAACGCTATAAAAATCGCACGATGCTCGGATACAAGACCCTAGCTGAGGGAGTCATCAACATGGCTCAGGTGAGTGAATCGATTCTTCGACCACACTCTACGACCACCTTCGCTTCGATAAACCAGCATTAGAGATAGGGAAAGGGTTTTCTGGCCCGTTAAGGGGGTAAACGCTACCCTAAGGCGTCTAAAAACAGATAAAGTTTGGGAATTTTTTTCGTAGGAAACTGCCGAACGAAAAGATTCAATCTTTTTTCACAGAATGTAAACGTAACTTTCAGAGTTTTTCTCCGATTTTTGAAACGTAAGAATGTTACAAAATGGAGGAGTTATGGCCAGGAACCTCTTCTGTTAGAACGTCGATTTCCGGCAAGGATTGAAACTTCTGAAATAACAATTCTTTTTGGTTTATAAATTAACACGTATTGCCTATGATATAGCTATGATTTTTTGGATATCTCGATTATTTAATTTTTTAAAAACGTTTCAAGAGATTAGGGATTGAATTAACGTGAAAGTGTGCCGAAAAGTCGTCAACAGTGCAAGAAAATTTTCAAAAAAAAAACAATTGTTATTACAGTTTCAATAATATTACGAAGATTTGAATTATA